GAAAAACGCCCCAGGCGGAATTGCGAGGGCACGTTTGCCGGTGCCGCACGCACAGCGAACTCACTGGGCGTTCGGCTTGTTCGGCTAGTTATAACGTTGTATGGATGCAACGCCTCTCGCTGCAACACAAGATCTTGTTTTCGTGTGTCCCGAGTCGGTTCGCAACTGTTCAGCCTGTCAACCCTGTCAACCCGCCAGTTTCTGACCTGCAAAAACCCGCGGGCTTTTGGCGGAGTGATGGCTCAGACTTGGCGGGCTTTTGTGGGTGAAAAATTTTAGGGGGGAAAATAATGTGTCTTTCGCAGTCCGTAAGCTCCCTTTTCCCAAGCGGGATGAAGATCGGTCGAGACTTCCGACCTGTCTCTACCTCGCAGTTCTGACATTGTCCTCCACTTTGACGGCTCAGCGTCTTTGGCCCACTGTCCTTCCCACTGCTCCATGTGAGCCCTACCCAACGCGTTCGGTCCTCTCACACCTCCGCCAGTCGGTAGGCGCGTGTGGCGGCCGTGTTTCGGTGGCGGGCCGGCGGCCGGACGCCAGCTCACGTGTGCCGCGCCGCCGCAGCTGATGGCGTTCACGGACGGCCAGCGGGTGGCGCTGATGCCGCCGGCGCAGGACCACAAGCGGCTGCGCGCCGGCGACCGCGGGCCCAACACGGGCGGCATGGGGGCCGCGGCGCCGGCGCCCGGCCCGCTCTCGGACACGCAGCTGGCGGCGCTTGCCGGCCGCTGCTTCCAGCCGCTGGTCGACCACTGGCGCGCCGGCGGCGTCTCCTACGTCGGTGAGTCGGCCGCCCGGCAGCGCCAGAGCGGCCGCCGCGTCTTGCCTTGTGTGGCGCAATTTGTGTGCGGCATGCTCACTTGCGGCTGGAAGGTGGGTTTGGTTTGGTGGCGTGGGGCAAAGGACTCGTGTCGCTTGGCTCTTCCGTGTGCTGCATGACGGCGAATTTTTAGTAACGGGTCTGCTTTCTATACGTTATTCTGATCGGTTAAGATTTTCATATTTTCTCTGCTTGATTTCTAACAGTTTGCTCTCTTCCGTGGCTTGCGTGACCGTCGTGTCTGTCCGCACAGGAGGTGGCTGTAGCGCTCTGATCCCGTGACAGTCGCTGTCAGACCACAGCAGTCGCCGCTGCCGGGTGTGTTGTGTGTTTGTGTGTGCACCGGCGGCGGCCGCGGCCGTGCCAGCGCGCGGGCCTGACACGGCGGGCGCCGGCGGCGGCCAGGTGTGCTGTACGCCGGCCTGATGGTCACCGCTGACGGCCCGCGGGTGCTCGAGTACAACTGCCGGCTGGGCGACCCCGAGGCGCAGGCCGTGCTGCCGCTCCTGCAGACCGACCTGTTCGCCGTGCTGACGGTACGGCGGCCCACCCGCCGACACTGCGCACTCTCCTGACGCGCCTCTCTGTCGACACACCGCCGACACACCGTTAACTTCTGCTTACGTGCCTCTCTTTCGACCCATCCCCGACGCTTGCACGGCATTGGCTCGAAAGTGCAAAACTCTTAATTGCATTCTTGGTCACTTGGAGCTGGGCTAGTACCATCGCGTGTGTTTGTTAGATCAGCTCGAACCTTTTGATCTGATGAGTTTCTGGGATCAGCGCTCTTGCTAAGCAGTACTTGTTGCGTGAGGTCTGATCCCGCGATCCAATCAGGAAATTCCGCGTCAGGGATATCATTTTGCGACGAAGGCTTAACGTACCGCAACCATCGGCGCAGCCCGTCCTGTGCTTTTGACGTCTCCTGACCTTTAACACGGCCGCTGTCATCGGCCTACGGTCGGTTGCGTTCGTGACTGACAAATCCTGGTGCACCGCACCTTGACATATTGTATCCTTCGCCCCCCCCCCCCCCCCGTCCAGTTCACTGACGTAGTTTCCCACGCCTCGAGATGCCCTACATGAGAAACAGGTCGCGTGCCGTGGAAGACGCGCCCGCTGCGACGCAACATGTGTGGGTCCCTGCGTCGTCCGACATTGAAAATGCCGATTCCAAGTGGGTCGTCTAACATTTGTTTAACATTTAGAGAAATACAGTTTTGCGTGCGACGGCCTCTACGTCATGTTTGTTTTCTGATCAGTATTGTGTAGAGCGTTGCATTTCAAACACGCTGCAATACGTCTGTTGAACTACGCTCACCATTTGAGCTTGCCACCGTCAGATGTGTGCCTGGAAGGCTTATGCGTGTCTGTGGAAGTTTCGGCGCCAAAGGGAGGGCAGTGAACGCTGTTTTCATAAGTGACGCGTGTGCACCACTTACTGTACGCAATCGGTTGTGTGTTTATTGGTCAGCAGTACTTGGCTTGTTCATTTGAGAACGTCACTGCACGTGGAGTGTTGCGCAAGTGGCGTGCACCCTCTCCGAGCCGTATGCGGAGCCTCTGGCCGTAGATTTAGCCTTTGTCAGGGCTGCGTCAGCTTGTTTTTTGCGCCCATCTGGAAACTTGGCTCAACCTGCCTGGGAATGTTAGATCATGTGTGCGTAGTCCGTCAGACTGACCTGGGTTGGGTTTTCATAGCCAGCCCCAATCTGTGAATGTGTGTTCCGACCTTGATTGTCTCCGAGCTGTTAGGGATGGTCTTCCGCCTCGACACCACCTGACCGGTCTTCTGAGCCTGTCTTGACGCCCCTGGCCGTGCGCTGTCCTCATCCAGGCGTGTGTGGAGGGCCGTCCTGGAGCCGTCAGAGCTGACCTGGCGCTCTGACGTGCACGCCGTCGATGTGGTGCTGGTGAGCGACGGCTACCCCGGCGCCTACCCACCGCTGCCAGATCACAAGGTGGGGCGCCGGCCGGGAGAGGGATACAGGTGGGGAGCCGATCCGGAGAGGGATACAGGTGGGGCGCCGGTCGGGATCGGGATACAGGTGGGGGGGGGGGGGGGGGGCGACCGGAGAGGGATACAGTGGGGGGGGGGGGGCGACCCGGAGAGGGACAGGTGGGGGCCGACCGGAGAAGGATGCAGGTGGGGGCCGACCCGGAGAGGGATACAGGTGGGGGCGCCGGAGAGGATACAGGTGGGGGGGGGGGGATCCGGAGAGGGATACGGTGGGGAGCCGACCCGGAGAGGACAGGTGGGGGCCGACCGAAGGGGGATAATAGGTGGGGCGCCGGCCCGGAAAGGGATAGAGGTGGGGCCCCGGCCCGGAGAGGGATAGAGGTGGGGCGACGCCCGGAGAGGCATACAGGTGGGGCGCCGGCCCGGAGAGGGATAACGAGACGACACACCTAGCTCAGCGTGCTTAGAATCAGCAGATGTTAGCTCACATTGCGAGCCACGCCTCGATGTGTGGAGAGGAGCTGCTAGTGGGCTCCGCCACGGCTCCCGCTGCCGCGCTGTGAGCGCCCCCTCGGTGCCAGTCCTCAGCGCGGCTCTCGCTCCGCTGTGACCGGTCCGCCGCTGTTGCCAGGCCTGGAGAGGCCGCCGCCGCCGACTGCCTGCTCTTCCACGCCGGCACGCGGCGGGACGACGCGCGGCGCGCTGCTGACATCTGGCGGCCGCGTGCTGAACGTAGTGGCAGTGCGCAGCAGTGTGGCGGCCGCCCGCGAGGCGGCGCTGGCGGCGGCCGACCGCGTCCAGTTCCAGGGCAAGCAGTACCGCCAGGACATCGCGGCCCGAGCTCTGGCGCGGTGAGAGGTCGGACGACCCCCTGGCGTGGGGCGAGACTGCTCCCGACACGCGCCATAGGTGATCCAACTCCACTGAGATAAGACTCGCAGTCTGTTTGGTCGCCCGTCGTTCCTTTCTCGGGGCAACGGTTGCGGCTAGCGGTCGGTCCTCCATGACAGTGTAGCAGTGTTTGGTACGTTTTGCGTCCCATCTGGTATTTTGCTCATGGGTGGTACTATTTGTCGATCCTCCCGCGGTGGTAAACGGGAAACGGCTGGTAGCACTCTTTAGCCCGCACCCGAATCAAGCGTGGCGTCTCCGCGGTGCGACACCGCCCACCTCATCACCACCAGGCTCGCCTGTGATCCGTGGCCTCGACCCTGTGTGCTCGCCAGTGAGATTCTGTGTGCCGGCCGGCTAACCTACAAGTCGGCGGGCGTGGACATCGGCGCGGGGGACGCGTTCGTCTCGCGCATCAGCGCCCTGCTCCGGCAGCGGCCGGCCAGCGTGGCCGTGCGCGGCGGCCTGGGCGGCTTCGGCGGCGTGTACGACCTGGCGGCCGGCGCGGCGGACGTGCGCGACCCGCTGCTCGTGGCCGGCACCGACGGCGTCGGCACCAAACTGAAGGTCGGTCGGCGGCGGGAGGCGGCCGCCGCGCGCGCCGCGTCCCTGACCGGCCGGTCCGAGCCGGCTGTGTGCGGCGACGGGCCGCGTCGGTTGTCGCTCTCGTCTGAGACCGTGGCGCCGCGCGTGTCGGCAGGTGGCGCAGGCGTGCGGCCGGCCGGCCGCCTCGGTCGTGACCTGGTCGCCATGTGCGTCAACGACTTGCTGTGCCAGGGCGGCCGTCCGCTGCTCTTCCTCGACTACCTGGCCGCCGGCCGGCTGGAGAGTGCGCCGCTCGACCAGCTGGTCTCCAGGCCGTGCTGGACGGCTGCCGACTGGCTGGCTGCGACCTGCTGGGTATGGGTGTACGATGGGACAGCCCTGTGACGCTGCTGTTCTGCTGGGTATATGATGGTGGACAGCTCTGCGACGCTGATGCTGCTGTGTTGTGGGATGCTGGGACAGCCGTGTGACGCTACTGTCTGCTGGGCATAGGGCGATGGGACAGCTCTGTGACGCTGCTTGCCTGCTGGCATATGACGGTGAGACAGCTCTGACGCTGCGGATTGCTGACTACTGTGGAAGAGCCTGACTAACATTACCTTGGAGGCAAAAACGTGAAGCCAGGCCCTCGAAGGAACACGGTGGTTTCTGTTGGTTTTTCCGTTGGTATATGCTCACTAGATTTTTGCGGTCCCTTGTAAAGTGCTTTATGGTGCGGAAACCCCATTTATCACATTTAACCACGTAGGCTGGAACGCTGTATGCGTTGCTTAGCGTAAAAAGCATCTGCTTTTTCCGTTAACGCTGTCCCAGGTATATGGAACCGATTGGTCCTGCTAGGAATTCTACATTTCTTGGTTGCCACAGCATGGCAACAGTTTTCTCACCAAGTCCATACGAAGAGCACACTAATGCAAATTACCTTACGTAGAGGGATAACATCCGTGTACCAATGCTGAGCCGGGCACGATTGGCAGAGGAAACGTAAACGGCGTAATACAAATCACGGGCGCTTGGTTTCCGTCACGTCCGCGTATACTGACCGTAGCGTCACGGCCGCAGTCCGCCCTACACCAGTCGAGCGTCACGTTTCAGTCCACCTGTATCAGCCGAGCGTCACGTCACTCATCTGCCTGTACTAGCCGAGCGGTCACGTCTCGCGGTTCGTATAGAGAGCGGGGGGGGGGGCTCCCGCCAGCGTCTGTCTGCGTCACGCCCAGGCTCCGTGTGTGGCGGTCGGCACCAGCCGCTGAGCGTGGCGTTCGAGGTGCACGCGTGACCTGCCGACAGGCGGCGAGACGGCCGAGATGCGGTGCGTCTACTCGGAGGGGGCGTACGAACCTGGCCGGCTTCGCGGTCGGCGTGGTGGCGCGGGCGCACTGCCTGCCGCGGCCCGACCTCATGCGGCCCGGGGACTCCCTGCTGGCGCTACACCCGCCTCCGGCCTGCACAGCAACGGCTTCAGCCTGGTGCGCGCGTGGTGGCCGCCGCCGGACTCAGCTACGAGCGCGACACGGCGACCTTCATGCCGTCCCGCCGCCAGCCTGGGTACGGAGACCGAGCCCGCTCGCGCGGTCCGGACCGGTCCACTCTCCCCTGGCTGCTGCGGTCGTGATTCCCTGTGCTGTCAAAATTATGTTGCTGTACCACGTTCCTGTTGCGTTCAGTCTGTGGGTAGTGGTGCGGCGCTGTCCTCGCGCTGCCTCGCCAGGCGGCTTGTGCGGTCTGCCGGGCGCCCGGCGCGCCATGGCTGACTGCCGGCCGCTGTCCGCCCGCCGCAGGGGAGGCGCTGCTGACGCCCCACCGCCAATCTACACGGCGCCGCTGCTGGCTCTGCTGGCCCGGCCCGGGCTGGTGACCGGCGCCGCGCACGTCACCGGTGGCGGCCTGCCCGGGAACGTGGCGCGCTGTCTGCCCGCCCAGCTGGCGGCCCCGGCTGGACGCGGCCACCTGGCTGCGCCCCGACTCGCCCCGGCGCCGCCGCTGCCGCCTGGCTCGCACTCGTCGGTGAGTGCCGCCGCTGGGTCACGGCCCGCGCTGGCGCGGCCGGCCTCGGCCGGCATGTCTGACCTGCGCCCGCCGTCGGACAGTCCTTACGGCTGTCTTCGACAGTCCTCACGTCTGTCGACAGTCCTTACGTCTGTCTTCGACAGCTGTTGCAAGGTGGAAGCCGCTAAGCAGACGAACCTTGGTCCTCAATAACCAACCCGGGGTGACCGCGCTCAGCATCGAACCTCCGTCGTTCGTGAGCTGCATACGGCCCGGTGCGCGTCTGACGCCGCTCGTGACTGCTGTGCCGTCTGTGCGTCAGGCGGCATCAGCGCCGAGGAGCTGTAGCCGCCCTGAACACTTCAACCTTGTGCTTTGGGCATGGTGCTGGGTGGTGCCGGCCGAGCCGGCCGTGAGGAGGCGCTGCAGCTGCTGGAGCAGGCCGGACACCCGGCGCGGTCCGTGGGGACGGCTGGAGGGGAGGAACGGGCAGCACGGTGCGTCAGCTCGGCGCCGGCCGGCCGTCGGGTGGGCTGGTGGCGCGCCAAAGGAGGTGAACAAGCAGTCTTGAGTGCAGCAAGGAACACGGTCTGTGTGTGCGTTTGGCGATTGGTCGTGATTTAGTATACATACATACGTGCATATGTATACTATGTATGCATATGTATACATATGTATGCATATATATATATATATATAGATATATATATATATATATATTAATAAAAACTTGAGCGCACTTGCGCACTTGAGGCATGAGCGCCACGCGATTGTCCGCGTCCCACCCGCTTAGCACCGTAGCTGGTGTCGTTTCTGATCGCCTTGCAGCGTCTCGGTCCCGCTGAGCGGTGACCGAACGGCCTGGGACGTGGCGTGTGACCCCGCCCTCTGTGTTCGGTGCAGACGGCGCCGGGGACACCGCGGCGCCTCAGGTGCTGCTGGACGGCCTGCAGACCCAGCTTAGTGCCGTGATGGCCGGCCTGACAGCGGCCGGCGTGGTGGCCCGGCCCGTGCGGGCCCGCTGCCGTGTCGGCGTGCTCATCTCCGGCTCCGGCACCAACCTGCAGGTGAGGTGGCCTCCTGCCCCGGGCGCGCTGTCCAGGCGGCGGCCTCCTGCCCCGGGCCCGCCGGCCAGGATGCGGCCTCTTTCCCCAAGGTCCGCTGGCTGGGCGGCAGGCTCCTGCCCCGCAACCGCTGACCGAGCAGCGGCGTCCTGTCCCGGACCCGCCGACCGAGCAGCGGCCTCTTGTCCCGGACCCGCTGGCCGGGCGGTGCCCGTCGCCTTGCCGACGGGCGGCGCTCCACACAGGCGGTCAGACGGCCGGGCAAGCGTGCGGTCGGTGTTAATGGCGATGGGAAGCATTCGGAGGGTAGAGATGCGAGATTGCCGAGCTTGCACGTTTGTTAAGCAAACTGATTGTAAGAAATGTTTACGTAGCAGTTGAAGGCGCGGGCGTCAGCTTGAGCGAGTGTCCTCGCCGGCTGGTTGACCAGTGTCGGCTGATAGTCACAGATCCTGGGCACTGTTTTTCCCGACGCTTGGCATGGAAACATCCGCTGACAGCTGGCAAGGGGCCTGCAAGTAGCGTTAGCGAATACGTTGTCGGTTGTCTGTTGGCGGTGCAGGCTGCGGGTGCATGTGCGGGTGTGAACGATCTGCGTCCGCTTCCCAGGCGCTGATTGACTACGCCGGGCGGGTCGACAGCTCGGCCGAGCTCGCGTTGGTCATCTCCAACAAGGACGGCGTCAAGGGACTGGAGCGGGCCCGCGCCGCCGGAGTGCCGTGCCAGGTGGGCGAGCAGCCTTGCTGAGCAGCTGGCAGGGAAGCCGCCTCTCTCGTATTCCAGGACGCGATGCGGGCGTGTGGCTTGCGCCGCTGTGAGTCTGACCCCGCTCCGACTTCGCGTGATCTGTGACCTGACCTGTGACCTGGCACTGCTCCGATGACCTGACCAGCTCTGACCTGCGTCTCGCGGTGATCTGTGACCCTGACGCTGCTTTGATGACCTGAAGGGCTGTGACCGGTACCTAGCGCTGTTCTGATGACCTGATCGATCCTGGCGACGTCTCGCGGTGACCTGTGACCGGTGCCGGCCGCAGGTGATCCGACACACGGCGTTCGCCGGCCGGGAGCAGTTCGACCTGGCCATGCACGCGGCGCTGGAGGCGCGCGGCGTGCAGCTGGTGTGCTGCGCCGGCTTCATGCGCATCCTCTCGGCCCGGTGAGAGCTGGGTGGGCCGCCGGCGCCGTCAGCCGCGGGCTCGGCGCTGCTGCCGCTCGGTCCGGCCGCCTGTCGCCCCTCACCTCGGATGACGGACGCGCTGGCCGCAATCTGCTGGCAACAGAGTATTGCGATGGTGCGATATTCTGGTAAAGTCAGCTGGTTGTTGAATGATACTTTATCACATGAAATATCTGTTTTTATTCCACTGTCACGTGGGATCCATGTTAGTCACCCCTGACATTACATGCCCTGTTGTCCTGTCCTGTCCTGTCCTGTCCTGGTCCCAAAACGGCCGGCGCAATGACTGTGTGCCATTTCAGCGCTGGCGTTCACGCGTTTTGAAAGATCAGAACTCCTGTGACAAGCAGGCGCGAATCGTGCGGTTGTTTGGCACTTTCGTAGATTTCCGTTGCGCACAACTCCGTCGGTACGTCATATCGGTGCTATCTGACCACGCCTAAGCACAATTCCAGCTGTATAAGATGACACCGTGTTACACTATGGACAGAGCCCCAAGTCGGATGGCTGCGGGTAAAATCGTCGCTGTTTATAGACCAGCGAGCAACCGTCTGCTTGTAAGTTCTTAGCTGTGCGGAATATAAGTTGTGTTGCGCTCGCCCCATGCCGTCGATTTTCTTTTCGCAGATTTGGTCGGAACCTTTTGATTGATTGGATGGATTTCTGGGAACATTGTCCGCACTAAGTAGTGTTTTATGCGCTGGTCCAGACACCACCATCCGACCACAAAATTCTGGTTGAGCAGTGGAATGTAGCGAAGAAAGCCCAACGTGCCGCAATGCCCGGCAGGGCTTGTCCTGGCCTCTGACGTCACCTGACCTTACCGGTCACATACATTCCCAGTCGGGCAAACAGCGAGCACCTAAAGCGAGTCGGACAGAACCCGCCACACATGGTGAAACAAAAGACAGGCGCTCTAACCTACCGAGCCATCAGGACGGACATTGACCTGTCGCTCAAATTAAATGGCCCATGTGCTGGTCTGGAATGACTTCTCACCGGCTCATATTGGACACTAATTGCAACCGGTCGGACGCCATTTGTGATGACGAATTGGGCCACCTCCAGTATGTCTCGTGGCGGCGTCGCCATTCTTCCGAAGTCCAATGCTCACTGCCTAATGTGCAGTCAGCGGAGCGCTTCGGCCGGGGATTCAGGGGCCCATTTAGAGGTCGTCAAATCAATGTCCCTGCCATGCTGCAGACGTGAACTGCGGACCCCGTGCGGGCATGCGTTTCACGTGCCGTAATTCAGCCCGAATTATCGTCAAATGAATTTACTTCGCTTTTTGCTAACCCAGCTCAGGACGACCCATACGCATTTGCTGAATTGGAAGCGCATGGCGGCGACCGGCGGCGACTTACTCGCCTCTCTACAGGATATGTCGCAATACCCATGCTGAGTGATGTGGACGTAGAATTCTGAACGGTAGCCGTCTGTGTCTGCGGCGTGGCCAAATGTTGTTTTACGTCGTTGAAGCAAACTCATAGACTAGTAATCAGACAAAAGATTATAGGCTAGCTGGCATATTAAGAATAAGTTCAGCGCGGTCGAAGACAAAATGCACCGATAGAGGACATCCACGCTGCCATGGTTTGCGCTCACCAGAATATTTTGGCACCGTGAAACCGTGACAAAGTTGCACCTCGATGAGTTTCTTCGAAAATGGAAGTAGAGATCTTCTCATGGTCGAATGCAAAATGGCCCACATCCATGTGCAAAGGGGCAAATGCTAAAGATGTGGGATTAATCCTTTCCCCAAAGGCAATTTTCCTGGAAGATACCAACGCAGAAACAGATCGTGGGTGGCACTCTATCGCGCCGATTACGGTGTTGACACTGCCCCACATTTACGGTAAAGTAAGACGCTCAGGAAGCATTTGATGAGAATGAATCAGCAGGGTAGGTGAGTCGCCGCAGTATTCTTGGATTCCATGGTCGTTCAATCCACGTCCACGCCCTTCTCCTTCAACTTGTGGACTCAAATGCCGCGTAAGTGTGTCATTCCAGTGTGAAAAGTTAGGTAGTTCAATCTGAACTTCTCTTGTCTCAGCAGTTCTGTGAATGGATGCTGCTTTCGCACCACCATTGAGTTATCATGGATAATTTGCAAAATTTTATAAAACGTGATCATTAGAACTCAGTGAAGAACTGTAGCCGCCCGAAGAGCTGAACCCATTTACCGAGAGCAAATTCACTGAATAATGCTAGTTCGTGGCCATTGCCACGCCATCCTTCGCCTCAAAATGGGGTTCATGGAACTGAACCGTGCAGAACGATCATCTTTCAGACGCTTGGCACAGGTAAAAACACAGGTGAACCGCAAAGCTTGAAAGATTGCAGAAATGAAATGAGATGTGTTAGACTTTTGTGAGGTTGGCGTGATGTGCAATGTGCGCGGTATCGGACCTCGTGACGTATGGTATTTCGTACCCGGTCAACGCCCGCGATATATTTTCGGAAGACGGCATTTTCTGCGCGTCGTCATATTTATATATTTTATATCAGGAATTGGGAATAGTTTTTACCCCTGGTGGAGCTGGCGATCTCTGGCTGCATTTGTTTGTAGCCCTCGCCTTTCCTTCTTGACATATGAGCCAATTTATGTACCATATGGAGTATACGTGATGATGCGGGCTAATGGGTATAAAGGCAAGCAATCTTTCGTGTTAGCACCGAACTTAAAATGGCAGCGCACATTCTTGAAATGGTCAGCAGTAAGTTCTTGACGTTATTGTCCATCACTCTTCAGGGTTGTGTGTCGTCATATTTAGACCTTTTGTGTCAGAAATTGGGAATTGTTTTTATCTTATTGTGAGACCGATAAGCTGGAGCTGCCGCACGTCTGCGGGCAGCAGGTCCGGCCTGCAGGAAGCGTCACTGGCTGCCGCGTCTCTGCTTGCCGGTTTCAGTCTAGCAGCCTCCGGCCGGTGTGTGGTTACGTATCGGCCTGCCCAGCCCGCAGCAGCCGCTGGCTGCCGTACCACACGACCTCCATTGGGCCCAGTGTGCAGCCTCATCTGACTGGTGCGTCTCTCTGTGCGCCAGTTTTGTGCAGCTGTGGCGCGGCCGGCTGCTCAACATCCACCCGTCACTGCTGCCGGCGTTCCCGGGCCTGCACGTGCACCGCCAGGTGCTGGAGGCCGGCGTCCGCCTGTCCGGCTGCTCCGTCCACTTCGTCGAGGTCGGTGGCCCAGGCAGGCTGTGCGGTGTCGCTGGCCGCCCGGCTGGCGCTAGCGGCTGAGCACACTCACTGCGTCGTACAGCACAGCACGGCTGTGACCTTTGTCATGTTCGATAGCTGCCCGGCTGGCGCGCCAGCGGTGGAGCACACTCACTGTGTCGTACAGCACGGCACGGCTGTGACCTTTGTCATGTTCGATAGCTGTCCGGCTGGCGCGCCAGCGGTGGAGCACACTCACTGTGTCGTACAACACGGCACGGCTGTGACCGTTGTGATGTCCGCTAGCTGCCCGGCTGGCGCGCCAGTGGCGGACCACACTCACTGCGTCACACAGCACATGACGGCTGTGACCGTTCGGATGCTCGCTGGCAGCCACGCCATTATCTGGGCGGGCGTGGCGTGCTTCTGACCGCATGTGGGACATGGTGCTTGTTTGCCTGTCATATGCTTGTCCGTTGACAAGGACACCGGTTCCGGTGCATGGCCCGGCGGCACGTTGAATTGTCCAGACGCCAGAAATAAGGTGGGGGATGGGGTGGGCGCTTTGTCCGAGCTGGCGGCCGCAGTCGGCCAGCGGCGTCCCAGCCCCTTGGGGTCGTGGTGACCGACGACTGGTGCCAGCTGGAGTCAGCCGACTCCGGCTGGGGTGCCCACTGCGTCCGAGCGCCGTATCGTGGTGACCGCTGGGGCTGAACTAGTGTTCCGGGTTCGGTAGTGAAATATTTCGATATGTACACTTCATTCAAATGTGCAGGAGATGTAGCATGCGTGTATCCAGTTCATTGCATCACGTACACGCCAAACACACGCATGCGCTAGGAATCTATACGTTGCGAATTAGGACTGTACCAAGAGGTAACGGTAATGCGGTGATTTAGCTGTGTGTGTGAAAAGTCAGAGGTATGGGGTTCGATTCATCGCGGTGCCGCTCTTCCTGCCAGCACCGGGTGAGGGCAGGCGATGTTATGCGAGGATAACCTCAGAATCCGAAGGCGTCAGAAAACCTCAGCGATGACTGAAACTTACCAGGTCAAGGGTATTATAAATCAAGACTTTGGCAAGCAATTCGCCATTCGCGGCCACGTGTAGATGAGTGCAAATGTGTAGGTGAGAGATTCGCCAATGTGTAGATGAGACTTCGTTAAAAGATGCGCCCAGCAGAACCGTAATTGAAATGCATTGCTTTGTTAAACGCCACAGGGTTTTCTCCTGGCTTTAATTGCGTGCTTTTTCCCAAGCTTTTTGATATTTTTCCCGCATATTGGTTCGATGTGTGGCTTCCAATGATGTGCGGCTTCCAAGTTTACATGAGCCTCATGTAAACTGGTGCTCGACGCCATGGTGATTCCATGCTAGCCCCACCATCTTCGTCCTATCTTCATTGATCGGTCGTATGGGGGGAGGCGGGGGGGGGGGGGGGAGGCGGGAAGGAGTGTTCACGGAGGTCACTGGGGATAACGGCTTCTCGTTACCTGGAGGAGTGCTGACAAATTGGGTCGTATGGGGAATCACCATGGAATCAGATGACACTGAGCACATGCCTGGCCCTATGGGGGGGGGGGGGGGCTTTGCTACACCGGAGCCTCGTAGGGCCAGGTGTAACGAAGCCATGGTTAGTGTACCCATGGATTTGTCGGGTACACTTATCATGTTAGTGTACCCAATAAACATGGTTTGTGTACACTAACATGGTGGCCATGGTTAGTGTACCCATGCATGGGTGCATTAGCATCGCGGCGCGGTATCCCTGGCATACCCGTAGGTCAAAGTGAGCGGGAGCCAACATTAGATAAATTCCGATATCATTATTGTGCGTCGGCCATGGCTCAACACCTGCCTTCACGAATAAGTCGACTCCCAAATCGGCTATCTTACCCTCTTACGGTTTGAGGGAAATCCGAAGCTGAAACTGAGTTTGGAAACTACTTCGATTTGCCCTCGTTTTTGCGATCGAGGGCCACTGTGCTGACGTGGTGTGGGGCCGCCTCCGTGGTCTGCCGGCATCCCGCCGTGTGTGTGTAAGTTCTGCTGTTCCGTGCCCCGCCTCGGGCTCACTGGTACACGCGGTACGTCCAAAGTCACTTCTGTGGTTGACACGCGTCCCAGGCACTCCACACAGTACGTCCCGCCGGCGCATCCGTCCCCGCGCCGGCGGCTCTCCCCACTTTTCTGGTTACTGCCTCCTCTCGTGGGCCCCGCGGCCGCGCCCTTGCACGGGGCGGGATGAGAGGAACGCAAGCGCCTTGAAGCGGCGCTCGCCAAGCTACACAAACATCCACTGGCTGGTACATAGGTGTTCTGTGGTACCTTATATGTGCGCCGGTGGTGGTCCGCCGGCGGAGAGCGCTGGTGACCGTACTCGACCGTAACCCCGCCGCCTCCGCCCCGGCAGGAGGAGGTGGACGCGGGTGCCCTGCTGGTGCAGCGGGCCGTGCCCGTGCTGCCGGCCGACACCGAAGCTCAGCTGGAGGAGCGCGTCAAGGTGGCCGAGCACGCCGCCTACCCGGAGGCCGTCGAGCTGGTGGCCAGTGGCGCCGTCAGACTTGGCGAGCACGGCCGGTTGGTGTGGCGCCACTGAGGCCGTGACCGGTCCCGCCCGGCGCTGTGGAGTGCGAGCCGAGTGTGTCGCCAACCAACGAGCCAGCTGGCGGAGCAGCGCCGTGACCGGAGCAGCACTGCGACGGGAGCAGCACTGCTACCGAAGCAGCACCGCGACCGGAGCAGCACCGCGACTGGAGCAGCGCCGCGATGGGAGCAGCACCGCGACCGGTGCAGCACCGCGATGGGAGCAGCACTGCGACTGGAGCAGCACCGCGACCGGAGCAGCACCGCGACCGGAGCAGCACCGCGATGGGAGCAGCACCGCGACCGGAGCAGCACCGCAATCAGGGCAGCACCGCGACCGGAGCAGCAGCGCGATCGGAGCAGCACCGCGACCGGAGCAGCAACGCGATCGGAGCAGCACCGCGATCGGAGCAGCAACGCGACCGGAACAGCACCGCGATCGGAGCAGCACCGCGACCGGAGCAGCACCGCGACCGGAGCAGCACCGCGACCGGAGCAGCATCGCGACTCGCTACTGTCCGACCGTCTGATGGGCGTGGCCTCTCCGTTGCCTGGCTTGTCACTTGGCTCACATTGTATCGGGCATCGTCCAATGGTCAACGTTTCACAATATTGGGATCCCTGATGTGGCAATGCAGAGGACGCCCCTGTTGCCACGTGGACGTCATACGGGGCTAGTTAGGTGAGCAACAGGCTTGAAGGGTCATGTTGTGATGCTTATAAAGACATTGTGAGGTTTGAACCTAAAAGTGCTCGGAGGCAGCAAGCAGTTACGTGGGCTCCTGTATAACTTCGGCCATCGGCGATGTTTCCCCACTGTACTTGGATAATATATGCACGATATACAGCACACATGGCTGTCCCGCTCACCGAACACAGTGCTCGTATATGAACACATCGAGGCAAACGTGGTGACGGTAAGGCTATTCTTCACCTTGCGCTCTTGTTTTATAATATGCTTTCTTTTGGAGGACTGCCCACCTTGGTTTTTGGCAACGTTTAAGAGACGGCATTTCGAGTTTTTCGGTGTCCTGTACCGCGTCACCCTCTCCATTCCACGATTAGAACGAGGTATCCCAGTACCCGAGCTCTGCCAAAACTCATCTCTGGCGCCATATTCAGTAGTAGGCGATCCAGAGCAATTTTGGTACGCAGATCATTAAACTCAATCCTGAAAAAGCAGAAAGAATGTGACGTTTTTTTAACACAACCGGCAGAAAGGCTGACGGTTTATTAAGATGTAATTCAGGCGTCAACGATTCACAAAAAAGGGAAAGCGCAGTCGATTCCAGAAAAAGCAGCGGCGGATGGGAGCATGGTGCTATCGGTCCCACTCTTTCAACGCGAATTGTGCTCGCGGCTGCGGGCTGCCCCATCCCACCCTTATGCGACACACATTGCGAACCAGCTGAACCAGGCCGCACATCATCATTCTGCGCTAATATCGCAGCGAACCTCTGGAGTGATGTATTGTGAGACATCATTTCCACGCGCATCGTGTGCCATTTTCGAGTACGACACTACACATTTGTAATACGAATCATCCGTTTGGTGGCGCATGTCCTAGCCGAATGTGGTGCTGACTGGTCTGGCACAGCCCGCCTGCCACGGCGTCCCAGGTTGACTGGAAATTCCATTCGCACCGCCGCAGTTCCAGTGAACCGTTTGTGACGCGTCGTGCTAATCCCGGTCCGAAAGGCTAACTCGTCAGCCGTGCGGCACCCTTCCCTCGCCCGCCTTGTGCACGGTGCAGTTAGTGCGTGATGTGTGCACATGCACGACCCCTCGGCGATTCGCCCCGGTAAGGCGAGCGCTGAGGCGAAGAAAACGTCTCACGAGACACGCCGTCTAAGGGATGTACTTGCAGACGGACTGGCGCTGATACGACCTGGTGTCAAGCCAACCGCCATTGCTGATTGCCATTTTGCCGAACAGAACTCTGGTCAGATTGCCGTCAGGCCGGTTTTCTAGCCAGTTGGTGAAGTTGAGTGGGCTGCCGTCGAGCCAGCGGAACTCGTACGCCCTCCATGTCGGCTCGTAGTGCAGACCGATGTTAACAAACCGCGTCGAGTCGTTATGGGCCTGGACCATGGCGCGGACAAACTGGTTCTCCTCCGCGGAGAGGATGGAGGCCAGCTGGGAGCCGGTGTGGAGTGTCTCGCATGCCTCCTTCGCCTTCGTCCACCTCAGCTCGTCGTTGATGAAGGCGTAGCAGTTGCCGCAGTCGCCGCTCCAGCCGGGGTCGCAGCCCAGCAGGCGGCAACCGTTCAGGTCGAACTGGACTGCGGTGCAGGCCGACTCCAGCTGGCAGTAGAGGCCGCAGTGGGCGGCGCTGCCGGCGGCCACCGCGGCGACCTCCTCCCGCTGGTGGCTGCCGGCGGCCAGCAGCGGCAGCCGGCGGCCGACGGCCATCGCCAGCAGGGCGACCCACAGCAACAGCGGCAGCAGACGACACCGCATGGCGGGATGTTGTCGGCAGTCAGCCGCTTGAGGGCCGGGCACTGGCGAAGTGTTCAGCGCCGGGCGTCACTCGCGGCTCTCACCCACCGCCGCGTCCGCGCCCTAATGTCCTTCCATGCTGTGTCTTTGGTAACCAGGCACGCGGAAATCAATACCAGTCTGATGTAGCGCGACGGCCATTTCGCGCAATGCTCGAGGCGATGCAGCGCGCGATGTCCCGTGATGTGTGATTTCCGGTTTATTTTCCACGCGCGAGCGCTACGGACCACAACGCCTCCCTCAATTTAAATATTCACATTGGAATGGAACCAATTGGTAGCACCTACCTAACATCAATCTTCCGGCAAAATGGATGCTAATCAGTGCATATTGTAGTCTGATTACGGCATGGCTTTGTTCAGAAGTTAATGCCATAGGCTCGTGCCGCGGCCGGTCACCTGCAGCGTGATCGATGAGCCAGTCATTGACAGGCGCGTCAGAGCCAGTATTTCGCGTTCCTTTGTCTGCATCGTAGGTCCGTTGTCATGGGCTGCGACGGATCTAATTCACCTGAACATTCTGCACCTTAAAGTAACGGAGAGGCATTCTGGTCGCGGAAAGGCATGCATTTTTTGGTACTAAGGACGCCTCGGATAGTGTGCCATCCGGCCGGGTACCGGATAAGTTCTGGGAAGGGTTGCGTGATATCGTACGGAATCGTGATTAAGTTGCTAAGTACGTTTGCAAAGAAGATTATACACATAAATAGAATAGTATTACTGGCCTCGCAGGATAACCAAGAGAATGGAGAAATAGAGTATTCTGTAGAGAGAGCGGAGAGACTGATGGGTCTCTTCATTTTCCTTGTTATTCTGCGGGGAATAAGGCTATAAGTACTGCCGTATTTATACGAATCGTGATACTGAGAGTTGATATTTTTGAATCGAGGGATACCGCTAGCATCACATTCAAATATCCTTTCATCTCAATTTTTCCTGCTTCTTAATTGGAGCCAGTCTAACAAGGGTTCAGTCTGGTATGGGCACGTACGACCCTGCGGCCAGGTCAGCTCATGCTAACCCCGCCAACTATCGGCTTCATTCATTCTCAGTGGTAAAGAACCAATTGTAAATATGTGGATGAAACCTTAAACTTTTAGCGCACCTGGCGATTTTTAAACTTGTCTCACTGTAGCCGAGAACTAAACTGGCGCGGCTGATGCTCGGCCAACGCAGGAATTGTCGCAGTGTAAACACATTGATATTTTGTGGTTCGGTCCTCGCCTTATAAGTCCACATGGGGCCAGCAAACATGTCCAAAGCCCAAAGAAATGCGATATATACTACAGGCTTAACGACGACATGAGACGGGCGGGGCTTGGTGAGATTGGAGAGAAGAACATTGAATTTTTGTTCAAGTAGATTCCGTGTAACAACAGCAGGGAGACAATGACACATGTGGGGACACCTCCATGAGAAGATCATAAGCGAGGGGGGGGGTCTGCATGGACGCGACTTTCAAATGTTTGACTTCCATCTTCAGCTCTGCGCCTGACTAAAGCGATCGCGAAGCTCGGGCAGCGGCATCCCGCGGTGACGCCGCACCATCGTCACTCGTGTCACGATCGGCACAGCGGCATGCACCAGCAGGAGTGCCAACGCCAGTTCTAGGCGAAATGACTTTAATGCAGAGACGCATACACAAAATGAGTGCAACGCGGCAAAATGTATGCTTCAAAAAGATATATCCGCCATTACCTTTACTGCATAACTTATTCAGTGCGCACCGCAATCTTTACTGCAAAAGGATCGTACAACATGCGTGCCTCACGACAAAACTTACGCTGTAAAAATGCATACCCTCACTTCTTATAAGCAAAGACTCAAGCAGCCTTTACATTTACGCGACGTTCTTTCTACTGCAGACTTGGTGTCGCGTTAGTGCCATACGCAGGCGCGCAGCCAGAGGATTTGCAAGCGGCGGGGGGGGGGGGGGTACATGGGGTTGACAAAGGGCCCCCTGATTGCAAAAGGTCTTTCACCAAAAAGTCGTTGAATATGGCATATTTGCTAATGAGGGCACATTTTTATTTTACATGTTTCATTTCATCCTTCTATGACTGGAATGATGAAATGGATTGGAAACTATGACTGGCAGCTACCGCGAGATCAATTTTGCCTGAACTTTGTAGTCAATAAACTGAAAGAATCATGCATTAAACGAATGTATGACATACATAGCCAGCGCTAAAGGGCTTAAGGGTTACTCCGCCCCACCGCGGGATATTTTCCGGCTGCCATTCTGGCGGCACAGGGCGAGATCCCCGGGTTGATCGAGAGGGCCTTAGAGGGCAACGTCAGATCACATTGATCCCAGACCCCCATCCATGACGCGGGAGGCCTTCTAACCCGCGCAGTTGACCCCGGTACAGTACAGGACGCATATTGACTCAATGGCATCCCTGATCGCAGCAGGTGGTCCAATAATTGGCACGTAGACTCCAGTTCGCCTTAACTGGCCCATGCTGGAATTGAGTTGGAGGGCCCACCATTCGGTGCTTGGGACCCTGACTCGCACAAGACACTTCCATCGCCTCAACGTGAGCAATCACCATACGCTCTCACGTTTCCTTCCCATGTCAGATAGCCCCGACCAACGCAAGGAGCCCTCTGGCATTCGGGGTCCGGTCCCCGTCCCTTTGAGCGAACCTGCCTCGACCGACTACAGGGCCCTAGTTGACACAAAATACCTTGTTGGGCGTTGTGGGCCCCTGAACGATACAGGACCCCCCCCCCCGCATTGTGCAGGGGCCCGACCAATGTAAATCGCGGGCCCGGCGTCGTCCCTGCTTAGGAAATGGGCCCCCAGAGCTCAGACCGACACAAGGACAGCTGTACGCTGTTGATGATCTCTGGCCGTAATAGAGGAACACCCTGTTTCAAGGGTCCCCAATCAGTGGAAAAGGCCCCTAACTGACATACTCTGCTCTACTCTTCTAAATAACTCTGACTGACCACGACCATATGGGCGGGGGTCCTTAATGTGACCTATTGCCAGCCCTTCAGACTCGTCAGCTTCCAATCGGTTCCTTGATCATACGCGCTCGGGTGGGGGTGGGAGTCAAATTGACCCCCCCCCCCCGAAGGTTTTTCTAGAATGGTTTCCGAACGGCGCGGCGTAGCCGCACTACATTCTGCATAGCTGTAGACAATTGAATAGCAGATCGTTTGGTATCAACAATTTAGATATAACTTATAAGGTCGCTGACCTATGACTGGTCAAAGTCAGGCCATGGTTTTAGCGAAGGCAATTTCTAGGGAATCATTCAGTCTGATCCAACAACGGAGTGTTAGACGAAACCGTACATCTCTGAAATGCTTCTTCAGACAACACAACAGTTGAATGAGCAAATTACATTGACCTAAGGTCAGGTATGAAGGTCACGCCAAGGTCAAAACCAACCGGTTTTGTTACTCCGGGGCTTGTTGTATGGGATGGTTTCTGGTGCTCCTTTCGAATTTATGGTAGCATGAACCGCATTATACATCTTACACGAACCTCTTGAACGTCATAATAGGTCATTGACCTAAAATGACCCAGGTCAACATTTTGTTTGAGGAACATACTGCCTAGCATAATCTTTGTCGCTTAGTCAAATGCAAAACTCAAAGCAATCCTGTATGATTTTGATCACCTTGACCTTCAAAAGGTAGAAAAGGTCACTGACCTTACATGAGCATGTGATCTTTTGCTTAGAAATGGTTATCTAGGTTCAGGGGTCACTTTAGAGACCAACCTGGAACTGGACATTGTTTGACCTTTTTTGACCTGAAGGTCATGACCTAGGAACCTGAAACTTTGACCTAAGTGAGTTCACGTACAGGTTAACACACCCTGTAAATTTGGTGTCTTTAGCTTTCTTAGTTCCAGAGATCTCAGGTGGGGGGGGGGGGGGGGCAAATTCACCTCCCACCTGAGCGAAGGGTATCTAGCCGGCCACCCGGGCGCTTGTTAAGTCTCGGAGAGACCCTTCGACCCCTCATCGGGCCCCTCAAACACCGCTCCCCTGACCAGCACAGGAGCCTCTCATTGTATGAAGGACCCCGAAGATTGCGAATCGTGGGCCACGGCCTCGTTCCTGCTTGGGAGATGGCCCCCAGCGTTCAAGATGACGGGGAGCCAATCGTTCGGTGTTTGTAGTTTCTGACCGACTTAGACACCCGCATTGTCTCAGGGGGTCCTGAAATGGTGCAAAAGGATCTCTGATACTACAGGTCACGGCCCTACAGGCCGCGATTCCTTATGTGACCTACAGTCAGTCGTTCGGGCCTTTGGGCCCCTTGCTAGCACAGGATCCTCTGTGAGGCCCTGTGGAACCCTGCCAGATACAGGGGCCCCGAACAGTGTTAATCACTGGCCCCAGGTTTGTATCTGATTGGGAAGTGGGCTCTCAGGCCCATGCCGCCACGAAGCCGACTGCAAGTTACTGGTGGTATCTGACTGAGATATAGGCCCTTATCGACTCAGGGGCTTGATCAGCGCTACAGATAAATGTCCCCCAGCTGGTATTGGAGTGCACGGCCATTCGGGCTGGGGCCCTGAATACGTCTGGTCGGACTTTCGGTCCCTCTAATGGATTCTTAGTTGTGGATTACGAGGGGCCCGAGGAGCTCCTCGGAGTCCAAGGAAGGGGGAGGGGGCACGCGCCCCCGTGTCCCCCCCCCCCCCTCCTCCCCGTCTGTGCCACCGCCCAGACACCACCAACTGATCACTGAATTACAGTTCAAAGGTAGGATTTTGTGGCCGAGGTTGATTTGCCGCAGCGTTACGTACCGCGATGCTCGGGACGTTCACCCAACCCTCTGGGCCCATCTGATCTTAGGCAATCGCTGCCACCGGCCGCAGGCCACCTCAACCATGGGGAAATAGTGAATAACGAAGCTCTTCGAGCTCACCGACCCATCAACAGGTGGGATGGGAGGCAGGCGCTCTGGACCATTGGGATACGGTGGCAGACTATAAGATCACGTTCCAAAGAAATGCAAGAACGCATCTCCGGATAATCCATTCAGAGCATCTCAGAAATGCGCCAAATCAAACGCAAGCCTGTCTGGAAAACAAAGAGGCACCGGGGATCTTATTGAATTGCCGAGAGATCGATGATTCCTCTACATGGCTAACGTGTTTGAAGATAGGCGGAATGCCGATGCCGACGCTCGGGCGTCCGTCCATGTGTGCCGGATCTCACTGATCGAATCGAGTGTGCGCCTCTGCGATGAAATCGGCATATCTGAAAGGTCGCCCGCCGTTGATTTTTCAGACGCACATGTTCAGAGCGCACGCACGGACCAAAAAACTTGATCGCAAATATATCGTAGTCATAAAACGCAGCAAAAAAGTAACTGGAGCTGGATCAACACGCCGCGCGCCTCAGTTTGAATTTTAAAACAACCTACCTGCGAACTGGATGACTTACGAGTTACACATTTTGGAAAATGGCCGTTGGCTGCTCGAGTTTGCATTTGACAGGCGAAAACAAAAGGCGCGTCTTCACAGAATATTGTATAGTATAGGCATG